TCCTCATGAGACATTGATTCAAGGCCTTTCAGTGCAACGGTTGCTCTTTCCTGGACACTTTCTAACTATCACTGTCCTTTGAGGTCTGCTGAGGGACAGTACAATGGACTATCACTTCTCTATTCCTAAGTAGATAGAGCACTGGCTTGGAATCAGGAAGTTTCATCTTTGTGAGTTCAAATCCAGCCCCAGATACTTGCTAGCTGGTGACCCTGGGCAAGTCACTTAACCCTATTTGCCTCAGTTTCCTTATCTGGAAAATGAGTTGGAGAAGGAAAAGGCAAACCATGCCAGTATTTTTGCCAAGAAAACTTCAAAAATGGAGTCATGAAGAGTCAGATATGACTGAAACGACTGAACAACCACACATCTCTTAAGGTAGTCCAACACTGTACTAGTTGTTTTGGTTTAGGTTTTTTTGGGGGGTGGGGGGGACTACCACATAGCACCCATCTTCCAGGACTGTTGTGAGGAGCAAATGAAATAATATTTGTAAAATGTTTAGCATAGTACCTGGCACATAGTAGATGCTTAATAAATGCTTGCTTCCCTCCTTCCAGAATATTGGGTACTATAGTCCACTAAAACCATCTGACCTTTTACAGAGTAGCTGCTGTCTAATCATACCTGTCCCCTCTTGTACTTGTGAAGCTGATTTTCTTGATGCTTTCACATCCCCCTTCTCACATCCCTCCTGTCCTTGAGTAAATTGGGAAGCATTCCAATTTAATGCTTTTGTTCCTCTCACCCGATTGCTGTTCTCCAAGAAGCAAAGGAAAGAGAGGAAGTAGAGGGAGCAGATGATAACTTTGATAACTTGCTCTCCACCCATAGGTATCCTGGAACCCACCTTCCAAAAGAAGGGAGCATCTCTAACATGTATTAAGGATAGGACTTTTCCCGTATGAAAAGGAAAATCTAGTAAGTCAATTTCCCATTTGCCATATTACCACCCCTATTTAGATGTAGATTTGAAGAATCAGCATCTTTTCCTTCCTGTTTCCAACCAACTGTAAAAAATATCCTTTGGAAAATCACTTTTGGATACATGTCTTATGGGTGAGTATCCTCATTTTTTCCCCTTTATCTACAGTAGTCTTTAGGTTACCACATAACCACTAATTGGGAGAGGCATTTGCTGCCAAGTAAAGGAACCAAAGTAGGCAGGAGAATCTAATCAAGTCTTCTCCCTTTAAAATTCCTCTCAGGACTCAGAGAGCTCTCATTTTCTTGAGTGGTCCAAATTTACCTAGTATTTAAAACCTTCCACAAATGGCTCCCCCCTACCTTTCCAGTCTTATTTCATGTTACTGTTTTTCATGCACTGTGTGTGCTAGTCAAATCAACCTATTGGCTATTCCTTGTACACAACAGTCCATCCCTCTGCTTCTTTGCACAGGTGATCCCCCATAAGCAGAACGTCTATCCAGTTTAACTCTTCTTATACCCACCCAAGGTTTTAGTGTCCTCTCCTTGAAATTACTTTACATAATTGTATTTACTTATATATGGAGACTATAAACTTTCTGGATGGAGGGTTTTTTAAATCCTTAATCCTTTGTTCAGGTGTATTACATACAGTATTTAATATTTGTTGAGCTGAATTGTTGAATTAGCTGATATTCTGAAAGATACAGACTTTACTGAAATGCTAGTTGACTCCACTGAAGTGTTAGCAATATATTCTCATATTTGTAAAATGTTACATTCCTTCATATATGCAAAAATTAAAAATGGCACAAGTATATTTTAGTGACTTTTAAAGAAAGTGTTGCATTTCTTTACATTTAGCAAAATTTTAAAATTAAGTAGCAAACATGATTTAAATTGACTTTTTTGACTCCTCTTTATTGTGAACTAAGAACGTGGTGTTTAGTTCCAGGGCTGCTGCCTTCAGCTCAAATTGCTCTTCCCTTTGAGTGTCTGTTATCTGTGATCTTAGGCATGTTTTAATTTGAATCTAATAAAAACACTGGCTTGTAGCAGGCGATACATTGCTTTATAGTTCTGTCATTTATACAGAATGTTTTTATTTGTACGTTATCTCACTGAATCCTTATTATCTTCTTTTACTATCTGGAACTAGAACCCAATACTTTCTTCACTCTAGTTTAATTAAAATGGAAGTCATTGATGTTCAGCTGTGTTTAATAGGAATGGCTGTATATCACCTATATCTTTTGAGGAAGGAGACTATTTCCAGTTGTCCTAATCTGTATCTGGTCACTGCACCCAGGTGGTTCTAAAGGAGAAAGTGAGGCTGGTGACTTTGCACAGCCCTCCTTCAATTCACTTGCAAGTCATGGCATCATCTTCCTGATGCTTGGACCTCTTTGAGAATGAAGGACAAACCACACACTATACAAGAAAGAGTAGGACTCGAGATTTGGTTCTCATCCTTTACTTTCTACTAGATACATTGTTTGTCCTTCATTCTTGAAGAGGACCAGGACCAATGACATCAGGAGGGTGATGTCTTAACTTGAAAATGAATTGAATTTAAGTGACGCAGAGCTGGGCCAAGTCATCAACCTCGCTCTCTCCTCCAGAATCAAAATCATTGAAGCCAGGGAGGTAAAGTTGCATAGTATGGCCCAGTGGCTTGGAATCAGTTAACTACTGGGTTCAAATGCTAGCTCCAAGGTTTGCTAATTCTGTGGTCATTAGCAAATTATTTAATGTCTCTGAGTCTCAGTTTCCCAATCTTTAAAATGGAGATACTAATACTTATATTGCCTACCTGACTGTGTTATTTTGGCAAAATACCTTGTAAACTTTGTAATACTAAATAAATGTGAGTTCTTCTTTACTTTTCTTTTTAGCTTCCTTTCTGTAAAATAAATTAGCTCATTAAAATAATCTCTAAGGCCCAGGTCATTCTCTGACTTGTCATTTGATTTAGAAGCATGAGCCCTATGTGGATCATTTGAAATCAGTTTGGAGAGTACTGTAAGCATAAAATCGAAATTGGGGATGGAGAAAAAGTGCAACATTTTTATTCAACAGCAAATCTCCCACTCTTAAAATGTTGGTAAGGATTAAAACCAAGCTAATCTAACATATAACAGCATTAGGAACATATATGGGTAAGTAGGAAGAAATTTGCACATTCAAAAATTCTCCTAGGAACATGGCAGCCAACCAGTCACTCTCGTATCTCTGCTTAGCAACAGAATAGAGCAGAACAGAACAAAACGAAACAAAACACTGGCCAAACGAGCTATTCTTAAAATGCATTTTGTGATCAGAATCTGAATAGTGGAGCAGGAGAAGACGCTATCTGAAATCTCCTTTTAATTCAAGAAATTACATGTGGACTCTTCATGCACCAAAATTTTTGAGCAGAAGCTTGTGTGGTAACGTATAATCGGAAAATTATGTAGATGCCCATCAGTTAAGAATTAGCTAAATAAATTGTGGTACATGAATATAATGGACTATTATTGGGCTATAAGAAATGGTGAACATGTATGAAAAGTATGAAAGTTAAAAAGTTATGAGAAGACTTACATGAACTGATGAAAACTGAAGTAAGCAGAGCCAAGAAAATATTATGTGTAAAGGCTACATTGATGTAAATGGAAATAACAACCACCCCAAAACAATTAAAAAGGAATGCTCCAGACTTATAAAGAACAAAGAAGAGCTATGAAAAGACACCTCCCCTCACTACTCAGGCGCAGGTGGGGAGGGGAGAGATCTACAGATGTGCAATCTACAGATTGCAGCAAATGCCAGATTTTAAAAATGTATTCTTCAGTTTTACTGGTTTTTTCCCCCTTTTTCCCTTTTTTTTGTTTGTTTGTTTTTAGGCAATTGGGGTTAAGTGACTTGCCCAGG